ATATATATATATATATATATATATATATAACTAAAATTTCGCAAATATAAATGTATATCATGTCTTCTTCTTCTTCTTCTTCTTCTTCTTCGAGTTTCAATCTGAAATTCAGCCAAAATCAAGTCTAATCTTCACCAAAACACCCATAAAATTGAGATATAAACTTCAAACCCTATTCCCAATTGTTTGCAACAACACCCAATCCAAACAAATAATTATTTTTCAAAACCCAAACTCAAATTCAAAGCTTCAAAGCTTTTTAATGGCTGTCGATGGTGGAATTGCTACTCTCTTTTCCTTTGCTTTACATTACTGAAATTAGTGATAGTGAGATAGAGAGAGACGTACAGAGAATTTCTAATTCTTTGCAACAACACCCAATTCAAATAAATAATAATTTTTTGGGTGAATTCTCTAATAAAATACCCAAATCAAGTGTAGGAATATCGGCTCCTTCCCCTTTTTAGGGCTGTTCTTTGAAGCTATTTTCTTCTTCATTGATATGGAGAGCTGCCTGTGCTTCCATTATCCGTTTATGGTGCGGTTGCAATGGCTCATAGTGATGTATCGGAGGAGTTATCATCACCAAGCCAGTTCTTCTTTTATCTTTACGATAAGAGAAATGTAAGTAGCAATTCATCAGTATAGACTATTCCTGCCTTTCTTCTTGTTTATTCTTAAGCAATTTCATCAGTATAGACTATTCATGCCTTTCTTCTTGTTTATTCTTAAAGCTACCACTTGAATCTAGCTATAGAATATCACCACCCAACTTATCCAATTAAAATGTTAGTTTTGCAGTCTGGCTTGGGAGGTTTGTCATTTGAGGAGGGTCAATTTTCAGTTTTCGGGTATGGTTTCTTCAAATTTTTGTCAGATAATTTGCGAAAACCTATTGTGTATTCGACAAACCTAGTGATTGTAGATGTTTTAATGGTAAATCGTGTCTTATGATGCATAGATATACAACTATCGGGTAGAGATATCCTTCCCCAGATCAAAAACTGGTGAACATAAATTCGATCTGCGAAGCTGGTGGAAGGCCAAGACCGCCTCGTCTTACCACCCCAGGAGAACTAACCTTCTTGACTTAATTTTTTGAAAAAACTCTCTCATTTATTGTTGCAGATCATTAGTACCAACAATGGCTGCTGCTTCTTGTGAACATAACAATGGAGTATTTTATTATTGATGTCTTACCACTTTCACTACGTTTCTCTGCAATTAGATCTGACTTTGCTCGAACACGATAATGTACTCAGGGGCGAAGCTACATTTTGATAAGAGTGGTTAATTGACCACCCTTTGTCCGAAAATTACACAACGTATGTAGGTAAAATATCAAGTTTTAGAGGTACATAATATATATTGATCGAACACCCTTTGCCGGCAATATTTTTTTACTTCTTTCAAGTTTGAATATCTTTGAAGAAATTCCCGGCTTCACCACTGAATGTACGGTATACAATCTGGGTTGGACAAAGTTAAAGCTCCAAGTGGTTTAGTTCGGACTGAAAAATTAAAAGTATATCCGTTGTGGTGATCATAAAATGACAGATCTTGGACATAATTAAGTAAATTAAGTGTGTTCTCTCTAACCGTTACAACTTTTATATGAGATGGTCAAACAATTTAACACACTATATACCAAAAAATCCTGAGTTAGCCAAAACTGAAATGGCTGGCAATCTTGGAAAGTTAACAATCATCTACGAAAAGAATAAACAGATGAAATTCTGATTCATTGGGTTTCTTTTGTACATCACAATTCACATCCTATACCCAAGTGGCTATAACATACCAAAACTATGCAGCAGACATATTACAAAGACGGCTAGGAGTTGGCTTAAAATCCAACCATCTCAAGGTTAGTCGACGAGCCGGTGGTGTTAATGCCCTCTTTATAATCTCTTTGTTTGCCGATCCATGTAGTTTCCGCAGACTATAATGGCTTGTTGCTGTTGCCCTCACTGTTCTTGAAATGTGTGGCGATGAATCTCTGTGTTGTTGAGACCTTGGTGATGATGGAAGCCTACTCTTGCAACTGTATTTCCTCTCTGCCCTGCCTAGTGGTGGTGACTTTGCTGGTAGAAGTGAAAGCTTTTGAGTGATGGTTTCCATTGAAGGAAGAACCTCCATCTTTCTTGTGAACCAAAAGGGAAGTGTTTTCAAGAATTCTAAGAAGAAGAAAGAATGATGGTTTGTTTTCTTTGAACAAAAAGGGGCAAGTGTTTTTAAGAATTCTTAGAAGGAAAGATGATGGGTTTGTTTACTTTGCCAAGGAACTTTTTATAGTGGCGTTGGTATTTAGGGGTGTGTTGACCAGTTCGTTTGAGTGGGGGAGACTGGGGAATATTTTGACTTTCTTTGGCTGGGAAACTTCCACTAATTAGTATGTACGTAGTAGTCTTAATAGTATGAAAATTGATAAAATATCTTCATGGTCAAAAGTTGCTCCTTCAGCAGTCATAGTTGACATTTCCCTTTGAATTGCCTTCAAAAATTGAACGTACCTAATGTCACTCTAGAACGTTCAATCCACACGATCTATTAGAGGGAATTGCTTACATATATTGTTTCTCTTCTCCCAAACACTATACGTGGTCGTACTAGTAATATAGGATTGTAAGTCTAATATAGGATTGTAAGTCTACATATCGTACCAACAAAGACTTGTGATTAACTATTTATTAAATTAAACTAAGAGAATTAACCTATTCAAGCAATTCCTAAAGTGTGATTATTTATTTAGAACTAATTCAGAGTAGTAAACGAAGAAATTAAAGGAAACAAATTTGCAATCTTAGAGATGAATTCAATGGGAGAAAGTATCCAGAGCTATAGGTTAGCTAACAATCTCGTTGAGTCTTCCACTTAAATTATCTAATTAATTTATCTGTTTTATTGATTGACAGGGTTAACATTACTTGTAGTATTCTCCCGAAGTACTACTCGCATATTCAAGCTAACCTAACGCCTATATTCCTACGGAATTAGAATTAACAAGAACAAATTATAATTCACCAAGCAAGACGATTAGGTATATTCCTATCATAACCGCAAATCCATTCCTGATGCCCAGGTTCAAGATCTTGCTCTGCTCAATCTTATATGCAATCTAGAATTTCCTCTCCCGAGTTCAATCCAAGATTAGTAGATAGTATTTAATTGATGATCAAGCAACCAAATAATTAAGCGCAAGATTGAATAAATAAACTAATACGATAAAATAATAAAAAAATTCTAGCTTCAACTACAATGTTCATGTAGCACCCACAACTCTAGAACTAATAAACTATGAGATTAAAGGAATACAAGAGAAGAAAAACTAGTTAGAAGCCTCCTCCAAGCGTGCTTTCGTTCTCCCGTCTAAAATGGCGTGTTCTCCTCCCAAAAATATGTTGGATCCCCTCCAAATTAGGTTTAAAACCCTTTTTACACATGTTGGGGCGTGTAGGGTCGAAACTACCAAGTTCCAGCAGAATTAGGACGAAATCCGCCTTTGGGCGACAATGAACTTTTTAGCCTGTTGTCAACTGCATTTTGGTTGGTGCCTGGCGCGAACCTAGGCACCAAAGTCATACTTCCTCCAAATTCTTCCGTTTTTACTTCAATTTGCACGCAAACTCTCAATTCACTTTCACTTGACTCCTACACATACAAATACTATGAATTAGAATAAATTATTATATTACACATACAAAAACCATGAAATATGAATAAAATGCAAGGAGATATGCATATAACTGCGCATACTTTAAGCCAAATATTAACACCCCACATTTAAACTCTTGCTCGCCCTAAAGCAATGGAACTCTCAACTACACCCCAACAACTTACACCTTAACTAGGGAGAAGTAATTCAACTTTTAATCATACACTCTACCCTTGACTATGGTCGATACCGATAATCATGCATAAGCATACTAAATTCACATTCTTCCCATTTTAAATGCGCCCAAGTATAATCATTTTAATTCAACCAATTCCAACAACCTACCCATAATCACCCTACCTCAAAAGTCGACTTGTTACCACTAAGCACCCTCAACTCGTGTACTCACCCAACAAGAGAAGTTAACAACATTTCCAATCTGTCGTGAGACCATGTGCCCTCACCAACAAACAAGAGGGTAAGTTGAATCCACATATTCAAATCAAATGCTCAAATATATTTTAAGGACTCATATATATCACAAAAAAATCGCTCATTCTCACAAAAGAAGTCACATGCATGCAATTGATACCATTGGCTTGCCCTTAATGTAAATCTCTACTAATGTAGGCTCACTCGATCTAAAATCAATTAGGACTTTTTCATGATTGTAATGTGGACTATGGGACGGGTAGCATATATTTAGGAATAATGACTAAGCCTCATTTGTTTTTATTAAGATTAAGACGTCTGAATCTGAATACACATCTGAATATCAAGAAGTGTATTAAGATTAAGACATCTGAATCTGAATACACATCGAATACATTAAGATTTGTATTAAGACCTGAACAGAAATAATTAAGACTGTTTGATTTTTAACATCTGAACGTATAAAATTTATCTTTATTTGAAAATTAATAAACATAAAATTCAAATGAAATATTAACTAATCTAATATTCTATCAATAAAATATATATAGCTTTTTAAAGTATGATACTTTTTTGTGGTGATGGCTAACGGGTGAATGCCGACTAGAGGCGGTAGTTTGTGGTAGTTTTGGTTTATGATGGTGGTTCGTGCTAGTAGCTAGTAGTGATTGGTAATGGTGGCGATTATGATTGAGGATGGTGATGGTGGGTGGTGATAGTTAATAATGGCAGGTGGTGGTATTAGTTGTGACTGAGGAAGGTGGTGGGTGGGTGGTGGTAGGTTATAATGATGGGCAGCTCCGGCTGTGGTTGTTGATGGTGATGGAGTAGTCAATTGTGGTTTGAGGTGGATGAGTGTTGATTATGGGTGAGAATGATATATGGTGGTCAGAGTGGTGGGGATAGTGGATGGTGATGATCGATAATGCTGGCGGCTATGATTGAGGATTATGGTGGCATGGTGGTGGTGGAGGTGGTAGTGGTGGCATGGTGGTAGTTGATAATGTTAGGCGGTGGTGGCAGTTAATAATAAATATGTGATAGCATCTTAATGATATTAAGTCTCTGTTATAGATCTTAATCATACAGACCTATTCAGACCCATTAAGTGGTGGTGAAGTAATAAAAACAAACACACTTAATGATTAAGATCTGAATAATTAAGATTCAGACTTTAAAAACAAACCCTCCTAAGCACTTTAACACATCACATAATCAACTGTAAGTGCAAATTCTTCAATTCCAACTTCAATTTCACAATTAAAATCATCCCTAACAACATTCTCTCTTTCTTTAGGCACTATTTTAATTTATACCCACTAGCAAGAACAAGATGACAATTTATTCATCTATATTTTTCCTTCTTTTTTTTTTCATTTTTTTCTTTTTACAATTTTCACTAGTGGTGTATTCTTTTACAAAACAAGTGCACCTTTCTTCCTTTCATTTGTTCCACTCGAAAGCCACCCAAATTTTCTTCTTACTTCTTTTAGCGCTCATATTACAGTTAAAGTGCTTTAAGAGGAAAAATGATCAAAATAATATAAATTAAGAATAAAAAGGGATATAGGCTTGTGATCAACATTAAGCTCAAAAAGAACAAAGAGAACCTAAAATCATTTTTCAAACCAAGCCTCACCTAAGTTTTGCTTCGACTCATATACCGGGCAAGTTCTAGACACAAGTACAATGACATGGACTACACAAAAATCTCGCTTTACACATGGAACATGACTCACTAAGTACGGTCTCATTTCGACTCTCAAATTAATGCAAGTATTCACGGAGCCACAAGATATTAAGCATTAAGCACAAAGTGAACATAAGTCAAGAATACGAGACATAGGCATCACGAGACATGCCATCAATTTATAATGGTATCATGATCAATTTCAAAACATAGGGAAGACACTACACATGTCAAATCCTGAATATGCTACTATCAAACAAGTCAAGGGGACCTAGGAATCTCATCTTTCTTCCTCCACTTTTTCCTAAGTCCTACTCAAAAAAATTTAAAAAACTACTACCCGGTTCAGATTACGTTCTATGGAAAGAGAACCGAGGCACAAAGAAAAACTACGAGGGATTATTACTGCCTAAAGAAAACTAAAAGACATTTTTTTGGATTTTTGTTTAGACTTTAATCCCTCAAAAAAACTGTATAGGAGATTCACCGTCGGGAAAAGTCTAATTTTTCTAATTTTTTCGATTTTCTTATTTTTCACATTTAAAAAAAATTAAGCTACTAAAATACTACACAACTACGAAAACAAAAATAAGAAGCTAAAATCAAAATAAGAAGTTAACATTTTTACTAATATACTACTACTAATTATCTAGAGGAATTC